AAATTAAATGAAATTTGTTTCTAAATCTTTCTGATGGAGCTTAGAACTTTCCCTTCATTAAAAGAAATTAAAAATTAATAAATTAGAAGTACTACATATTTCATAGCATTATCTCTGATTAAAAACTTACTTTTACCTGGCTGTAACATTAATCACTTTGGGAAAGGTGGCTGTAATTCTCTTATACAATTAAAAATCAAATCTAATGTAATAAAGATCAATATTAAAAGAAATACATCAGATAAAAATACACTAACCAACCCCTGAAAATGCAACACCAAGAAGAAGTAGCAAGAAAGTGATGAAACTCGACAAACAGAGAGACAGCAACAAACAATAAGTGATCGTTATTTCAAAATGCTTTGCATAATACAGAGTGAGAACAGCTTTGGCTCAGTAGCTTCTAGGACCACTTTGGACAGAGGTACATGAAGCAACACATCTAGGTACAGAGTCTATGAGACCACATATGGTATCCTGAGGAATGGCTCTCCATTCCCTGTTCACTATTGGCCACAGTTCGTCTTCTGAACACTGCAATGACAGGGTCTGCAAAGGGCGTCCAATCACATCCCAAATGTGTCCGATTGGTGAGAAATCAGGAGAGAACGGTATCCACGGAAGCATCTGTAGTCCTTGCAGAGCACATTGGCTGATGCGAGCAGTATGTGGTTGGGCATTATCCTGCTGTTAAAAGACACTGGATACTTCCTGAAGGTAGGGGAGGGTCACTGGCAGCAGCACATCATCCACATATCACTGGGCTGTCATAATGCCCTGTATACAAACTAGAGGTAACCTGGAATCGCACACACTTGCACCTTAAAAGATGATGTCATGCAATGTGCTGCCGAAATGGACGTATCTCCAATACTCATACAGGGCAATTATCATTAGAGAAACAGAAGCATGATTTATCTCAGAATATGACCCAGTGGCTTTCTGTTATTCACACTGCTCGAGCATGGCACCATTGCAACACTGGCATCTATGATGTGGGGTCTACGGCTGTCTTAAAGGATGCAATGAATGCAGGCCACTAGCCACCAATCAACGGGAAATAGTTCTAGTTGATGTGGGAACATTCAAGGTGTCTTGAGCATGCTGCAGAATGGAGGTACAAGTGGCTTGCGGGTACGGCACTGCTTGTCGGCAGATGCATCCGTTCATGGGTACTGACATCATTCTGGCACCCCTCGAACTTACCACATTTACTTGTTCCAGCCTTTGTCCCCACAGCCAGTGCACTGTGGACACATCCAGGTGTGTGTCAGCTGAGATTTGCTGTATGGACAAATCTGCCCTTTTCAACTTGACCAACTGCCTCCGTTGATGATGGACTGGCATTCTTTGCTATTACACACATCCTCTGAGACAAGAACAAATTTTCTATGATGATTTCCCTAGCAGAAATAACAGCATGAAAATTAAACACTCCGCTGGTTCCTTCCTTATATCTTCTTCAACGAGCGCTAGAGAGCTGCGCATTTCACATCATTCGCATAACTCAGTGACATGCATCTATCTATCCTGAAATTTGCATAATTTTCGGGCCACTTGTTCTTGGTGTAGCATTTTCAATGTCGGCAGTGTACGTACTCAGAGTTAAGAGCTATCTTTTATTAGAAACATTATGCAATGTGGTAAAGTCTCCTATTAATAAACTGCTATGAGACCTGCTGGCTATCCTCAACTGCTAGTTGAAAAACACATTTTTGGGGATCTTAGCTTCCAACAAATCTTATTAGTTGACCTATGTGGAGTAATTCTATACTCCCTCAGAACTGCAGGCAAAACATTTTCGTCAACCTCATAAAATCTCCTAGGTATGTATGTGCAACAGTTTTAGCTGGAAAAATCCCATTTAAACAAGTACTAAAAAAACATTTCTTGGAAAAAATTCTTATAGCGTCTTGCACTGATAAATGAAAGTGTTAAATAAACTCGATTACAGTTTATTGGGTTACATTAGGAGAATAATATTGTTACCCAATTAAGTAACTCTCCTGTAAGTTTTATTTTTAATATTTAAAAAAGTAAAAGGCCATTTTCACACTTTGTAAACTTAAAAAATACACATTCAAATTGATATTAAGTTTTCCACTTCATTTTTCATTTAAATACCGATACACTAATTATTTTTTTTAATTAATCACAACATGGATCATACTGATTACATTATATACCTGTTTCTCATAAAATAACTCTAGTCTAATCCCCTTAGAGGTAAATGGATATTCTGAGGAAGTACTGATATTTAAACTACTATATGCAAACCGAATTAGATCCCTAATGCAGAAAATCACTGTCCGCTTGAAAAAAGAATTTACTGGAACCTCTGAATTTATTCATTCAAATATATTATCATCATTCACTGTTGTAGACTAAAAATTACTAAAATGAAAGATTAGAATTAAACAAAAAAAAAAAAAAAAAAAAAAGGAAAAAAATTCCAAAAAATGATTGCCCTGCATCTAATTTTAAATTGTATAACTTTTTTACACATACAATAAATATTCGAAATAAGGCATTTTTCAATCTGAATTAAAAAGTTATTTTAGCCGAATGAAAGAAACCTCATCACTTCTATCAAACAGGGAATTATTCTTTAAATTTCCTCCTGATTAACTAGTAACTTCATTAATTAGGGCTGATTATATTTTAATTTTGTGGTTCATAATTTAGATCTGTTATAACCATGCCCCCGTAACAACTTATCAATTATTAAATACACATTATGAGAAACTGAGGTTCTCGTATTATACATAGGTTACACGAATACCATCTTTAAGAATAAAACACTTTTGTTAATTAAAATATAAAAAGGAAAAAAACAAATAAAATTAGCTTAGCTGTAAAAACAAAAACATCTTAACTATGATTCTAAAACACATATGCATAGTCCACAGTTTATGCACATGCTTTAATTTCAGAAAATACCAAATTTCTAGATACATACATCTGGTGTGGTTTGTATGATAAAATGTTTGTGACCTTCCCAACAAACAGAAAGGACAATCTGCTTGCTATCATTTCTGTATGTTTCTCGAACTAAATAATCACCCTCATTTACTAAAAGACGAACTACTTCTTCTCGTGGAAGAACTCCATGAAACCAATCTTCATCCTGAAGACTAGTATATGAGGGATTTAAAATCACCTGAAATTGAAAGAATATAAGATAATGTAAAGTAACTTAAAAATTACACAAATGGTGCAAAGAATACCAATACTAAACAAATTAGTGTTCAATTACAAATTATTAACAAGAGCTTTAGTATCTGTTTATTTACTTTCCCATTTCAGATTAGCATGAATGAATAGGTTACGCATAGAGCTCACTTAATATTTACCATATAAGGACAGAGACAAGTTATTTTATTTGTTTACTTCTATCATCTTCAGATGCAGGTAAAGTATATGCACTATGTACTGCAGTTTTGCCAAATTCTTGTTAATCTACTATATAATAATATTCAATAGTTATAACATATAATTTAAATTCTGAACTCAGATTTTTACTACATAAATTTTTTATTTCAGTTTAAAACCATGGGCATAATCATGACATGAGTATTAACCGTTTGACTGCTACACGTGCAAAAGCGATGCGTTCATTTGTCTCGAAAACCGTGATGCAGTTAGTTACTTTAGAATGCACTCGTGTTACAAAGTACGTGTAAGGCCAGACTACGTATGTTCACTTCCACGGAGCACCAAAGACACACTGAAACTCGCAGCGCTTTTGCACCACGTAGCAGTCAAACGGTTAAGTATAAATGACTACTCAGGCCACACTGAAGTAAATTCTTGCATGGCATGAACATTTATTTCCATATTTCTTTAACACTAAAATGAGTAACTTATCTGATACCCCTGAACAGCAGTCATGTCATTTCGATATTAGTGCTTGAAAATCAATATTATAATCTCTGAAAAACAATAATCTCTTCTTTTAGATGAATTATTATTATTTTGAAACATTTCCACAAAAATAAGGTAATTTATGTCAAAAATTTAAACATCGTTATATTTATTTTGCAGAACAGTAACAAATGAGAGTTAATTTTATATTACAATAAAAATAATACATATATATATATAATATAAGATAAAAAACAGGCAAGATAAAATATTAACTTTAATTTGCAATAGCTCCCTTTATTCTTTTTAATTTAAGACACTCCAAAGATGCATATTTCTAAACACTTAACCTTAAATTTTGTAGTCATGCATAAAAACATGTCTGCCTTTCTATCCCAAAACTGAATTCTCAAATCTGTTTTTACGCAGAAAACAAATACCTTTTCTTTCAAGATTCCAGATTTAATGATATTCAAAGGAAAAACACTGATTATTTCTGTCATGCAGAATGAAATACGATACTAGAAGTTACTGGAATTCAATTTCTGAAATAAATCTAGACCTATTACGTTCTTTAAAAGCCAAAAGCAGTTAAATTTCATCAAACTGCACAAATTAGAAATTTAGCACATACACAAATCCATACCTAGATAATGAAATGAAAAGCTTGTACCAATGCAAAAGAATGAGCTGATGAAATTTCCTTGAAGTTCTTCACATTTTTCTGATTACTTTCTAATGAACAGTATAAACTTTTCATACTATTCATATGGGAAATTAGTAAGAACTCCTCTAAAATAAAAGTTTGGGATAAAAGAAAAGTTACCAGAGGAGAATCTACACCTAAACTTGCCAAACAAAAACACATTGGTGACAACTTTCTGATAAATTATAAAAGATTAGATGGACCCATAATATTCTGATAGTCCTTCCATTAAAAGCTCACAGCTTTTTCAACCATTTTTAGTACCCCTGCTTTCATAGAAACTCTTATATTTTTCTCAAACAATTATCATGAATCATGCATAACTGTTTTATGAATACTTCAGGAAATTATAAACCTATCAATAAAGCTAATAAACCTGGTTGATTTGTTGGCACTAATAAACAAAATTTCATACATGCTAAATATATGTACATATTTTTGAAAATTGCTTTAACAAAATCTGGTTAGTTTAAAAACAAATTAAGCAGTCATAAAAAGGCTGAAAATGATCTACCATAGCCAAGGAAAGCCAATTTATCATATTTCTAGGATTTAATGACTTATTCAATTATATGCTGCAACTTTAAACCTTAGTACCAACAACACAGCATAAGACATTCTGATTCAAATGAAACCAAATAAGTGAAATGCTAATATACCTAATTAAAAATTATTATTATAACAGCATTGATTAAATGACATTACTACCTATTAATCAGCAGGGATGTTATTCATCACTTCCATCTGAATATAAGTCACCTCACAGAGTTCAGTTCGTCACAGCCATCTCATTCCATATTATTATTATTATTATTTTTTAACTAACCAAAAGTACTGGTAATGAAAAAATTTTAAATAAACACTAAACTTATTTTGGATTAACTGCCTTACAAGCTATGGCATTTTTTCCTTTTATTAATTAAAAAATATAATGTGGACATCACATAACATCCTTGCATGGCCAATTAAATTACACACATTTTTTGCTCCACTTCATTTAAACTTATTTCCTCAAATTATTCTAAATTGAATAACCAATCCCTCAGGGGAAGTTGAAAATGGCAAAAAATTGCAAATTTTGAGGTTAAATATCCTGGCCAGTTTTTATGATATGGAAGTCAAACTTTTTATAATTTTATTTTTTTACAAGTATAAAAAAAAAAAAAAGTTTCCGAATAATACAAAGTGGGAGAGGATATTTTCCACCATTTTCATAAGGAAAATACTAGTGAGTTTGTATATGGACAGCTTTTTCATGAGAACAGACAAGAATATATTTCATAAGGAAAATACTAGCGAGATTGTATATTGACAGCTTTTTCGTGAGAACAGACAAGAATATAGCACTTTTACTCCTGTATATACAGATGGTTTCAAGAAAGTTGATCATGTAGGAACATCCTTTGTAATTGGAGACCATACTGAGAGCAAACGACTGCACGATGCTTTCTCTGTATATAGTGCTGAATTAACTGCCATTTATCTTGCCCTCACTTTCATATCTAAGTTACAGTAGAAAAAGTTTATTATTTACACAGATTCATCAAGTGCTCTAAAAGTCTTAAAAAGTTTTTCTGATGCAGATTTCTTAAAGGGAGAGTGTTACAAGAAAAGGTTACAATTTCTGATGCAGAGATAATCTGAGTATTAGAAAGCAGCTGTTTTGATATGTTGTTTATAATGCTATAATAAATTTCAAAGTACTTGCCAGATTTTACAAAATCCGAAAAATCTACAGAGCAAATAAATGACATCTTAAATTTAAATCAAAAGTTAAAAGAGACATGGCTGTGAAATTCTCTATTGCTGGATCCCTGGCCATACAGGTATAGAGGGAAATGAGCCAGTGGACAGAACAGCAAAGTCTGCATCCGTGTTATTAAACTTGCCTGTCCTCTACAGCGACATCAAAAAAGCAATCTCTGGCAGGATTCTAAACACATGGCAACTCTTCCGGAATGATCAGCTGCTGAATAAACTAAGAAAAGTGAAGCCTAAGGTGGAATACTGGAAAAGCACTAGAAACCTGAGGGAGGAAGTGTTGTCAACACGTCAAAGGATTAGTCACTCTCGTGTCACACATAGTGCCTTTTGAAGGCCAAGAGTGAACCTGTTTGTTCTTACTGTGGGAGTGTTCTGCAGTGCGCCACTTTTTAATTGACTGCTTATATTTTAACACACTTTGTTTAAAGTATTTTAATAACTGTGACTTGCCTCTTCACCGAATTATCGAGAAAGAGGTCAATACTAATAGGTTTTTATCATCTAATTTGACAATACCCTTGTATTTTAATGTAATTTACTTTAATATCTCATGTTTTAAGATTTTATGCCTGCTTCACATTTCATATTTTTATATAAATCAGTAAAGTAACTTCATTTCAAATTTCATCATTTTATTACTTCTGATTTTATATGTTGTGTTAAATTTGTGCTGATTTTTAGTTGTTTTGTGTGTTTTATTACTGAACATGTGTCTGGCGCTAATAACCCTTCCAGGTTGTGCGCCATATAAACACTAATCTAATCCAATCCAATCCAAAGTGGGAGACTGCATTAAAAGTTAGATTTTTGTTATTTGTCAAAAATTCCTCTTTTTAAATTTTGAAATTGATAAAATATGAATATTTTATAAGAATACGAATATCTATGAGGAAATTTCAGCATTTTGTTTTATTTGTTGTGATAAGAATAAATTTTATTTACTTTTCACTAGACTTGTGCATCATTACAAACTCGTATGCACGCAACAATTTTGGTGTCAGAAGTGGGATTTGAATGACAATGACAAGAGCAATGGAAGAACAATTAAGGTAAGTACTAGCAGCCTTTGCTGGGTTCAAAGAGAGGTGAAAACTGGCCAAGAATCCGTTAAAGGTGAGATGACAGCTGGCCAAGAATTGGTTAAAGAGATGCAGGTGGTTCAAAAAAGATGAAAGTGGTCAAGTATCTGTTAAAGCAGTAACGTAATGCTGTTAAAGCAGTAATGCAACACTGTTAAAGAAGTAATGCAGGCTTTTCAAGGAGGATGGAAGCTGTTAAAGAAGCCATAAAATGTGGGCCAAGAGGAAATTAAGAGAGAAATCACATGTTTTGAGTTATGTAAGATAAAATATGAATATTTTTATCATTTAAAACACTTCTGTAACTAGAAGTATACGACTATGACTAATGATTGCAAAAATAAAGGTTGGGAAAGGGGTGAATACCCATACATATATATATTTATATATACACGCCTGGTTTTGCAAATTGAATAGATGTTACAGTACTCCAATGTACAATACATATGTGTGTGTGTGTGTCTCTATTATATATATATACACATTATATTTTTCAGCAGTCGTGACAAAGCTTGGCATCAAAATTCAGGCATTGCTTTTGCAGAGTAAGGCGAAATTCAAATGACGAGACAAGATGATTTAGCTTTTTAATTGCACATTTTTATTTAATCCAATTAGCAGATCATTTTCCTTTTAGATGAAACTCTCTAAATTACATATCCATAGTGATTTTAACTAAGTATAATTGAATTTAAACTTTTTGCGTCATCACTATCTCTAACAAATGAAAGAAAGATGGACAGAGCA